GTGACTTCTTAAAGAACTTCTGGCATTCGGATTGACTTTTAATATATTATGTCTCATACTAAGAGTCACTCTATTTTCAGGAAAGTTAAAATCAAAATAATACCGATTACACCTCCATTCTAAGGGGAAACAAATATGTTCTATGAGGATGTTTTTGAAGATGTGAATTAACCATTTACACCTGGTCTCAGTGAGAATCTCTTGTAATTTGTTCTCTAAAGTTTTCAATCCATGAATTTTTGAAATAATGACTTTTAAAAGTTTACTGCACTGAATCTTGTTTTAATTGTGTTTTTAAATTGATATTTGCTACTGAAAAATCTGGAGTCAAATATAGGTCACTCAGCAGAAGTTATCCAACGCTCATAGATTGTGTTGTGTTTTCATGAACAGTACCTCTAGTCTCACCTTTTTTTTTCCTTTATTTTCTGTTTTATCTGATTTCTTAACTTTAAAAGAATCTTGCGTTTTAAAAGCCACCTCCAGCTTTCAATATTTTCTCTCCTAATGATATGAAGCAACAAAAACAAAACAAAACCCCCCACCCTTAACATAACTTAAAGTTAGAATAATAATAAAACTTCAAAGTGTTATACACTAGATAATTATTCCAGGTAAGATTCACCATGGTGCAGGTAAAATTAGTGAACAAAGGTCTAAGAACATGTGCACAGTCTCAAAGTATGTCCCCCAAGATATTTTACATCTTAGAAATGGAAAACGATTAATTTTAAAGAACAGAAACCTGGCAGATACCAGCTTAAAAAAGTGATAAATGTTACCATCACCAGTAATAAGATATTTTGATACCATGCATCCTTTGATATAATGCATCTGAGAAAGGCACAATATCAGTTCTGTATTATTCCTGCCAAAAATACATAACCTCAATCTAATCACAAACAAAGTGAGAAACATTCTACAAAATAACTACCAGCTAGAACACTTCAAAAGTGTATGAAAGCAGCTAGTACACTTCAAAGTCATGAAAGATAAGGAAAGACGGGGGATTTGTCACAGATTGAAGGAGAATAAAGAGATATAACAACTAAATGGACTGTGAGATCCTGCACTGGGTCCTAGAATAACAACAACAAAAGTACGTTAATGGATAAGCCAGTGAAATTAAAACGAGATTTGTAGTTATTTAACAAATTGTGCCACTGTTAATTTCCTGATTTTGGCAATTGTGCTGTAGATAAATAAAATGTTAATATTAGGGGAAGGTGGGTGAAGGACATATAGCAATTCCCTGTACTATTTTTATAATATTTCAGTAACTGTAAATAAAAGTTTAAAAATAAAAAAGTTAACAAGGCATCTTCGATCTTTTTAAAGTAAGTGGGATTTTCATAAACAATTACTGTCTGACATTCTTCCGATTTTTCTTAAGGTCATAGCTTCCTCGTGTTATCCCCTTTGACTGCCTTAGAAAATTCTTCATATCTAGTGCCAATTCAAATATTGTCCCTCTTCCATAAAAGATCCCGATTCCTACAGACCTTCTCAGATTTCCCAGCATTGTAACCTAAAGTAGAATTTTACCATGCATGATTAGGTAGTTTTCTAGTTCTTTTTTTACTTGTATTTCTCATTGTCACTATAATAAGAAAAGCTCCCAGAATGCAGTGACAAAGTTACGTGTCTTTTGATCATTTTCCCCAGCACTGACCTAAATATACAGTAAATGCTTGTTAAATATATGTTGACTCATTCATTCATAAATTGTTAAAGGAAACTAGAGATTTGTAAGTTCACATCATCCATTTTACAGCCTCTCTGTGAAATTAGACATCAAATACAGGACTGAATGGACCATTAGTTATAATCTAAGTATGGCCACTCTAATAATTTCTTATTCTCAGCAAGTCTCTAAAATGTATAATACTTCCTTCAATTTCATAAAGTAGTTGGGGTTGAATAAACACCAGAACCCATAATATAATTACAATTTATAGAAATAGAGGCCTGAATTATGTCTTTAGAAGCTCATTAAAAAATCTGTTAGAATTCCTCATTCAATATTAATATGAAATGTACAATAACATACGCAATTGTCACAAGTAAGGTTCAAAGATACCGATGTTTGATGAGATATTTTCCATGACCTGGGGTTGCTTCCTTAGAGTATTCCTAGGATGTCTACTGATCTGTTAAAGTCATGCAGTGGGAACAAATGTCCATTTTCTTTGCCAAGAAAATACCATAGATGAATATTAAAAACAGTTCTGTAAGCCAAAACTCACATCTGCACACACTTAAAATGTAGCTCTTTTTTTTTTTTTTAACAGTAATTTGTAATACATTTTGAAAAACACAAAAAATGTTGTACAATGCTCTACACCTGGCTGGGTAACCAGTGTTTAGCCATAAGTGTAGTGATACAGGTTATGCAATTACTGAAATTGATTAGTGTATTTCAATTGTGGAAATATGTATGTGTTTGTGTATTTGTAACTCTTTGTGGCATCTATTTCAGGCTTGTTTATATTGTACTCTGTGTGTATATGTATATATATGTGGAATATAAAGTTTGAAATATACTCTAGTGATATAACGAGCCAATTAAGGAAAATAGAATATGTTTAAGGGGAATATAAAACATGGAACTTAAAGGGATTTGCCACACAATTTGGAGATTCCAATATTTAAAAAAATTATCAACTATTAAACTAATATTGTTTCTTTAAAAAAACTTTTACGAGGGCACTAATTCACTAAAAAGATATCACAAACAATGCTTTTAAAAGTCTTTTTAAAACCAATTTAAAAAAATTTGTGGGAAAGAAATATATTCTGATCTGATAGTGAAGAAGAAAATGTAATGAACCTGATTTCTATATTATGAGTTGAAAAATTTTTTAAATATTTAGTCAAAATTCCCAATTCAATGGAATATTTAGAATACATGCATATATAATACTACTTTAAAATAGTTCTATATCATTTTATTTATTTATTTATTTATATTGCATTTTAGGTTTTGGGGTACATGTGAAGAACATGCAAGATAGTTGCATAGGTACACACATGGCAATGTGATTTGCTGCCTTCCTCCCCTTCACCTATGTCTGGCATTTCTCCCCATGCTATCTCTCCCCAACTCCCCAACCCCCACTGTCCTTCCTCTATTCCCCCCAACAGACCTCTCCCTGTGTAGTGCTCCCCTCCCTGTGTCCATGTGTTCTCATAGTTCAACACCCGCCTATGAGTAAGAATATGCGGTATTTCATTTTCTGTTCTTGTGTCAGTTTGCTGAGAATGATGTTCTCCAGGTTCATCCATGTCCCTACAAATGACACGAACTCATCGTTTTTGATTGCTGCATAATATTCCATGGTGTATATGTGCCACATTTTCCCTGTCCAGTCTATCATCGACGGGCATTTGGGTTGATTCCAGGTCTTTGCTACTGTAAACAGTGCTGCAATGAACATTCATGTGCATGTGTCCTTCCTTATAGTAAAACGATTTATAGTTCTTTGGATATATACCCAGTAATGGGATTGCTGGGTCAAATGGAATTTCTATTTCTAGGTCCTTGAGGAATCACCCCACTGTCTTCCACAATGGTTGAACTAATTTACACTCCCACGAGCAGCGTAAAAGTGTTCCTCTTTCTCCACATCCTCTCCAGCATCTGTTGTCTCCAGATTTTTTAATGATTGTCATTCTAACTGGCGTGAGATGGTATCTCAACATAGTTTTGATTTGCATTTCTCTAATGACCAGTGCTGATGAGCATTTTTTCATACGTTTGTTGGCCTCATGTATGTCATCTTTTGAAAGTGTCTGTTCATATCCTTTGCCCACTTTTGAATGGGCTTGTTTTTTTTCTTATAAATCTGTTTTAGCTCTTTGTAAATTCTGGATATCAGCCCTTTGTCAGATGGGTAAACTGCAAAAATTTTTTCCATCCTGTTGGTTGCTGATTCACTCTAATGCCTGTTTCTTTTGCCATGCAGAAGCTGTGGAGTTTGATTAGGTCCTATTTGTCTATTTTGTTTTTTGTTGCCAATGCTTTTGGTATTTTGGTCATGAAGTCCTTGCCTACTCCTATGTCCTGAATGGTTTTGCCTAGATTTTCTTCTAGGGTTTTTATGGTGTTAGGTCTTATGTTTAAGTCGTTAATCCATCTAGATCAATGGTCCCCAACCTTTCTGGCACTAGGGACAGGTTTCATGGAAGACATTTCCACAGGATGAAATAGAAGGATGGTTTTGGGATGAACTGGCTCCACCTTAGCTCATCAGGAAGTAGCTCACCTACTGCTCACTTCCTGCTGTGCAGCCTGGATCCTAACAGGCCACAGACCTGTACCAGGCTGTGGCCCAAGGGTTGGGGACCCCTGCCCTAGAACACCAAATATATACAGACAGGAAGTAGAATGATGGTTGCCAGGGACTAGGGGGAGAGATACTTTGCCCGCTATTGTTTGGTGGGCACTGTTTTAGTTTTACAAAATAACATTCAGGAGATGGACAGTGGTGATGGTTGCATAACAATTTAAATGTACTTCACACCACTGAACTGTACAATACAAACCAGTTATAACTTAAAATTAATTAATTAAAATAGATACATAAGAAGAACAAAAGTACAGAGGGGAAATTAAATTATGCAAATTCTTGGCCAGACAGCTAGGAAGCTGTGACAACTTCACTTTTTCTTGGGCTGTGGCACTTTGTAAGTTTTTGAGCAAGGGAGGAAGTGCCATTAGCTCACAATCTACCTCTTCCAGAATGTTCTGCCTGAGCCTGTCTGTTGCCCTCAGATGTCAGACACCTCCCTGTGTTTCCCAGGGCATCCAGTCCAGCATCTCTAGATGATGGCCCTTATTTCTGGTCAATGTGATCACGGTTTGTTCCATCATCCCTGCCCCATCGAAACTCATCTCCTTGAGGGGAGGAGCTGTTTTTATATTACCAGTGTCTACCTCAGCTCAGCAATGAGATTTATTTTTTCAGTAAGATCTCTGTCAGGAGGACAGTTGTTCTTACCTTCTTCTCTTTGAGGTTAGATTTTCCTGTATCCCTCAGAGGCCTCAAACTTCCTGCCTGCTCTGTGTTGGGGGCATTAGCTTTCTCTTCTTTCATCTCTATCCATCTCAAGGCTTGGTTTTCCTTGGGAAGTGGATGGTCTAAATTCAGATAAGCCCACATCTTCATTGACCCCCATTAAGAGCTCAGAAGCAGTGATTAGAGCCCTCAGTGCAGGCTGCAGGGCAGGCAGAGCTTCTAATGAGAAGCTAATGAGAGCACAGCTTCTGAGCCTCCTTAGACATGGGCCCAAAGAGTTGGAGTCTCTGAGGCTCTCCCACACAATCTCTTAGGTGAAGGTGAGGTGAGATAGTGACATCACAATCACACTGCTCTGCTCAGTTCCTGATGTCAGCTAATGTAATGCCAAGGATAAAGGGCCAGCACACCTCTTTGTGATTTTGGTTTCCCAGGGGCAGAAAACAGAAAGCAGGCAGTCTAAAGATGCCCTAGGACTTAGGGACAGGGTAACAGTATGACAAAATGTTGACTTCTGTGCATTACTGTTCAGCTTATAAAGTGTATAATAAGAGAACATTTAGAAATACAGAAAAATACAATTCCAAACTCACATATCCCATCTCACAGTGAAATGATCTAACATATTTCTTTCCATGTTTTCCTGTGTGTAAGTATGATGGTTAATACTGTGTGTCAACTTGATTGGATTGAAGGATGCAAAGAATTGTTCCTGGGTATCTCTGTGCGGATGCTGCCAAAGGAGATTAACATTTGAGTCAGTGGACTGAAAGAGGCAGACCAACCCTCAATCTGAGTGGGCATCATCTAATCAGCTGTCTGCATTGCTGGAAGCAGGCAGAAGAAAGTGTAATGAACAGATGTGCTGAGTCTTCATCTTTCTGCCATGCTGGATGCTTCCTGCCCTTGAACATCAGACACCAAGTTCTTCAGCTTTTGGAGTCCTGGACTTAAACCAGTGTTTGCCAGGGGCTCTCAGGCCTTCAGCCACAGACTGAAGGCTGCACTGTCAGCTTCCCTACTTTTGCAGTTTTGGGACTCAGACTGGCTTCCTTGCTACTCAGCTTGCAAACAGCCTGTTGTGGGACTTCACCTTGTGATCATGTGAGTCAACACTCCTTAATAAACTCTCCTTCATATATACATCTATCCTATTAGTTCTGTCCCTCTAGAAAACTCTAATACAGTAAGCTTATCGCTTACTCTCCTGCCCTCATGCCCCCTATCAAATTAATCAGAAAACCATATTTACTCTTTCTTTAAAATCTATCCAGAACATGATCACCTCCCCAGCTACCACTCTGGTCTAAGTCACCATCATTTCCTCTCATCTGGATTATCAAAGTTGCCTTCCCATTGGTTTCCCACTTTTGTTCTCATGCAGCTAGAATGATCTTTTAAAGTCTAAATCAAATCATGTCCCTTCATGGCTTAATACTCTCTTACTCTCTCATTAATCCGAGTTAAAGTCAAAGTCACTGGAACAGCCTCAAAGGCCCCACGTGACCAAGACCTTAGAATGCCTCTAATGTCATTTCCAACTCTCTCCCCCTTGTCCACTATGCTCAAATCACACTGGCTTCCTTAAGTCCCCTAGCCATGCCAGCCATGCTCTTACCTTAGGGTCTCTGCACTAGCTCTTCTCTCTATCAGCAATTTCTGCCCCTGAATATCAACATGCCTCACTCAACTTCTTCATCTTTGTTTGAATGTTATCTTCTTGATGAAGCCAGCTTTAGCCATACTATATAAAATGGTTCCAGCCCTGGGACTCCAGAGTCTCCCGGAATCTTCTCTATCATTTCCTTCGTAATAGCATTTTGACACTTGTAAAAATTCTATATAAGTTGCTTCTACGCATGTTCATGGGTAACAATGTATCGCTCCTACTAGAATAAGTTCTGAGGGGACAGGAATATATGCCATTTTGCTCTTTGCTATATCTTAAGTGCCTAGGGCTTCTGTACAGAAAATAGGCACATAATGCTAAAAGCCATTAGTCTGTTAACTGTTCACCAGTATCTGTTCTTCATTTTTTTTCTTCATTTCTTTTAAAAATAGTCTCCCTGCAACTTTTAGCACAGTGCATGCAAACAGGTCCCTGCTGCCCCAAGTGTGGCCCTAGGACTGTTTCCCTAGTAAAATGTCAGAATGATATGTGCAATTTCCATGGAAATTCCCTAAAAGGAATCATTAGTCTTCCTCATCTTTTTCTACTCTTCTTGCTGGCTGAGAAATGGTATCCACTGGAACAGCAGCCTTTAAAGCAGAGATGGATATAGCATGTTGAGGATGACAGGCATCTCACATGTCAGCCTAGGTTCCTAAGTGACCTCATGAAACAGAACCATTTGATCCCAGCCCTGGGCCATCCTAATGCATCTGGATTGTTATGCAAGAGAGAAATAAACTTTCTTCTTTAATTTATCCACTGCATTTTTGGGTTCCTTTTTACAGCAAGTTAGGCTCACTCTAACTAGTATATAAATAATCACAAATGATTTTTCTATCAGTATAGAGATTTACACTATTAATAATAGTATCCCTAATATCAAACCATCTTTGCATTTCTGGAAAAAAATCAATGTGATTATGATGTATGACATTTTAAATGTGCTACTAGATTATCCTGCCTAATATTTTGTTTTTTAACATATTCAAAAGTGAGATTAATATGTTTTTAGGAGATACTGAGTTTTAACACTGATGTTATACTAACTAAGGAATAGATTACTAGGTCAAATCTAGGGATATTTTTAAGGTTCACAATACAGATAATCAAAGGCTTTCAGGAAGACTGTACCAATTTATATTCCTGCCAACAGCATTTTAGAGTGTTTACTAACTGTACCCTAGGTATTTTGGAATTATTAATTTAAAATGATGCTTAATATTTAAACTAATTTACCTTTTCAATCTGTAACAAATAGTATGTCTTAATTAGCATTTGCTTTATTACTTATAAGAAGGAAGAGGTTTAGTTAAGCTAACTACACTTTTGGTGGTCATGTACTTTACATATATATATACCATGTCCCATAATATATGCGATTTAGTTAAATTACACAACCACTTCCAAATTTTAGTTTATTTAATCCACACAATGCTGGATCAGGCAAATGAGACTCATAGAAAATACTTTTTTCCATTATAAATAAGGGTTAGAACCAGGCCTGACTCTCGACCCAGAAATCTTCCACTGTACTATACCAATAATTTATCTATGCAGTCTTATACCCATCAGCTAATTCTATTGTCCCCCACTTTATGGAAAGGCTAAACACAGGAGCCAGAAGTATGAAATAAGAGTCTCTGTCCCTGTATTCCAACATCCCGAGTCTCTCAATAAAGAGAAAATAAGTTTGGTTCTAAGTGCATAAAATACTATTTGAAACATAGATGCAATGTTGAAAAAACATTAGAAAGGCTGCTTGGAATATTAAAATAATTACAGTCTAGTTATCTACAACCTAAATTTGCTATTGCTGTCAAAAGAAAAGCACTCATTTAAAATATATGTAGCAATTTTATACGTTCTGTCTTTAGGCTTGCTAAGAATAATTATATTCAATAGTTAAAGAACAGAAGACATCAAAAGACAAGGTGCATCTTTTATACAAAAAGTACTCTTAAAGTGACCATATAACTTAGCATGAAAGCTGGGACATATTTAACAGTGAAAGGGACAGCAGTAAATGCTAAGTCACACAAGATACTGGGACAACAGGTAAAAGTAAAAATGTTTTGGATGAATCAAGATGTATAGATATCCTATTAAGGGCAAGATATCAAAGTAGTACCATAAATTATTCTTTCTGTTCTTATTTATAATCATTTTATCATTGATAAAGATCCTAGTGAAATATATTTTTTCATTTTATTAACTTTAGTGTTATAAGAAACAGATGCACCACCCAATTAGGCTATTACAATGAAAGGATCAAAAAATTTATACAGGCAAAGACTGGCAGTGGCATCAGCAAGATGGTGGAATAGATTATCTGGCATTACTCCTGCCACAAAAATCTAACTAAAAACGATCCAAAGACAAGAATACCATCCCTAGTTTACTAGAACTTGGATGAGAAAATGAAAAACTCCCTGGGCCAACAGAATTGAGAGAAGCCATGACTGGTAGGAGAAATATTCATGTTGGACTGTACTGCCCTCTCCCACAAGCCATCATAATGTCCCTAACACAAAATTTCTCTAGATTCAGTTTCCAAGGGAAGAGGAGGTAGACTTTAGATTTCCCCAAAGGTCTGGGAATCTTCACAGGAAGGCCATTCCGGTCTTGTGCCACAGGAAGTAATGGGAGTGTCAGGAATACTGAACCAATTGGGGTAAATTGGGGACAAACAGCTGGCACTGATTACACGAACTGGTAGATGGATCTTGGCAGCTACTCTGTACTTCAATCAGTGGGGAATTCATATTAAAGAGACTGGTTGGTGCTGTATTCCTGCAGGGGGCAGAATCTGTGGGAAGACTCGAATTCTTGGCAACATATTCCACAAAGCACAAGTGCACTATGGAGTCTTGCCTTGACCCAGAAACAACTAAAAGGTTGAGATTAAATTCTGGTGCTTCCTTAAGTCTTCCTTATGCTGGGAAACAATGGCAGGTCAGCAAGGTAGTTCAAGGGCAACGTTTAACTTCCAATGCTCACTATAAGTTTTCCCCAAAGCAGAAAACAATGGCAGTCAGTGATTTTGTTCCAGATAAGCATTTAAGTTCTAGAGTTCACTATAAGTCTTCCCCAGACCAGAAAAAAAATGGCAAGGCAATGAGTTAGTTCCAGTGCATTGTTTCAGTTCCAATGCTCACTATACTTCTTCTGCAGAATGGGAAGAAACAACAGGCCAGCATTTAACTTCTGATGCTAAGTAGTAAAGGTATGCTACAACCAAAGAACTCTTGTATAAACTGGAAGAGGTGGCTGTCTCCTCAAATGTGCAGGCATCAACATAAAGATGCAGAATTGTGAAAACTCAGGGGAATATGACACCACCAAAAGAAACAACAGACTCAGAAGAGTTGACGATCTGTGAAATATCAAAGAATTCAGAATAATACTTTTAAAGAAATTTGGAAAATCACAAGCAAATATGGACAGAAAACAAAAAGAAATTTAGAAAGCAACCCAGGAACAAAGTGAGAAATTTTACAAGGAAATTGAAATAAATAAAAAACCAAATAGAAATCTTAGAAAAGATAATACAATAATTGAACTGAAAAACCCTTTTCAAACTTTCAACAGCAGACTTGACAAAGCCTAGGAAAGAATTAGCAAGCCTAAATATAGAATGTATAAAATTACTCCCAGAAGAAAAAAAGAAAAAGAAAATATGGGAGAAGATCTCACAAGATTTATAGAGAAAACAACAGAATATACAGTCTTCTCATTGCCACATAGAACATACTCTAAAAATTGACCACATAATTGGACATAAAACAATCTTCAACAAAGGCAAAAAACCAAAATCATACCAAACACACTGATGTACCACAGTGCAATAAAAACAGAAGTCAAGACTAGGAAAATCACTGAAAATCATGTAATGACATGGAAAGTAAACACTACGCTCGTGAATGACTTTTGGGTAAATAATGAAATTAAGACAGAAACCAAGAAGTTCTTTGAAACTAATGAAAACAAAGATACAACATTCTAGAATCTCTGAGACATAGCTAATGCAGTGTTAAGGGGGAAATACATAGCATGAAATGCCCATATCAAAAAGTTAGAAAGATCTCAAATTAACAACCTAATATCACAACTGAAAAAATTAGAGAAGCAAGAACAAATCAACCCCAAAGCTAGAAGAAGAGAAGAAATAATCAAAACCAGAGCTGGAATGAAGGAAACTGAGACACACACACACAAAAAAAAAAATTCAAAAGATCAATGAATCCAGGAATTTGTTTTTTTGAAAATAAACTAATAAGATAGATAGGCCACTAGCTAGACTAATAAAGAAGAAAGAGAGAAGATCTAAATTAATACAATTAGAAATGACTAAGGGAACTCTGACTCCACAGAAATAAAAATAACCATCAGAAACTACTATGAGCACCCCAAGCATATAAGCTAGAACACTTAGAAGAGATGGATAAATTCCTGGACACATACATCCTGCCAAGACTGAATGAGAAAGAAACTTATTTCCTGAACAGACCGATAACAAGCTCCAAAATTTAATCAGTAATAAGTGGGCTACCAAACAAAAAAAGCCCAGGACCTGATGGACTGACAGCCAAATTCTATGAGACATACAAAGAAGAGCTACTACCATTCCTACTGACACTATTCCAAAAAATTCAGGAGAAGGGACTCCTCCCCAACTCATTCTACAAGGCCAGCACCATCCTGATATCAAAACCTTGAACAGACACACACACACACACACACACACACACACACACACACACACACAAAATAACAAAATAACAAAAACAAATAAAAAGAAAAAAAACTTTAGGCCAATATCCTTGATGAAAAATCCTCAACAAAATATTGGCAAAACTGAATCCAGCAGCACATCAAAAAGCTAATTCACCATGATCAAGTAGATTTCATCCCCAGAATGCAAGGTTGATTTAACATATACAAATCAATAAATGTGATTCATTACATGAACAGAACTAAAGACAAAAACCATATGATTATCTTAGTTGTTGCAAAAAACAAGCTTTCAATAAAATTTAACACCCATTCATGTTAAAAACTCTCAATAAGACAGGCATTAAAGGAACATATCTCAAAATAAGAGCCATCCAATGGGTTCATTGACAACATTATGCTGAATGGGTAAAAGCTGGAAGCATTTCCCTTGAAAACCAGAACAAGACAAGAATTCCCTCTCTCACCACTCCTGTTCACCATCATATTGGAAATTCTAGCCAGAGCAATCAGACAAGAGAAAGAAATAAAGGACACCTAAATAGGAAAAGAGGAAGTCAAACGTTCTCTCTTTGCAGATGACCTGATTCTATATCTAGGAAACCCCACAGTTTTGACCCCAAAGCTCCATTAGCTAATAAAAAATATCAGCAGAGTATTAGGATATAAAATCAATGTATAAAAATCATTAGGATTCCTATACACCACCAACAGCCAACCCAGAAAGGCAATCCATTTACAATTGCCACAAAAAGAATAAAATATATACAACACCTAGGAATACAGCTAAACATGGAAATGACAATCTACAATGAGAATTATAAAACAGTACTCAAAGAAATCAGAGAAGACACAAACAAATGGAAAAACATTCCATGCTCATGGATTGGAAGAATCAATATTATTAAAATGGTCAAAGCAATTTATAGATTCAATGCTATACCTTACAAACTACCAAAAACATTTTTCACACAATTAGAAAAAACTATTTTAAAATTCATATAAAACCAAAACAGAGTCTAACTAGCCAAAGCAATCCTAAGTAGAGAACAAAGCTGGAGGCATCACATTACTCAACTTCAGACTATACTACAGGGATATATTAACCAAAACAGCCTGGTACTGGTACAAAAACAGACAAACAGTTCAATGAAACAGTATAGAAAGCCCATAAATAAAACCACACACCTATGACCACCTGATCTTTGAGAAAGCTGAGAAAAATAAGCAACAGGGAAAAGACTCCGTATTCAATGAATGATGCTGAGATAACTGGCTAGCTGTATGCATAAGACTGAAGCTGAATCCCTTCTTATACCATAAACAAAAATCAACTCAAGAATAATTAAAGTCTTAAATGAAAAACCTAAAAGTATAAAAACCCTGGAAGACAATCTAAGCAATACCATCCTGGTCATAGGAATGATCAAAGATTTTATGACAAAAACAATCACAATAAAAACAAAAGTTGTTAAATGGGATCTAATGAAACTTAAGAGCTTCTGCACAGCAAAAGAAACTATCAGCAGAGTAAACAAACAACCTGAACGGGAGAAAATTTTTACAAACTATGCAAACAACCTGAATGGGAGAAAACAAAGATAGAATGGGAGAAAATATTTACAAACTATGCATCTGACAAAGGTCTAATATCCAGCATCTATAAGGAATACAAATTTACAAGAGGAAAACAAACAAACCCATTAAAAAATGGGAAAATACATGGACAGACACTTCTCAAAAGAAGACACGTGGCCAACAAGCATATGAAAAAAAAGCTCAATATCACTGATCATTAAAGAAATGTAAATTAAAACCACAATGAAATACCATGTCACACCAGTCATGTTGGCTATTATTAAAAAGTCAAAAAACAACAGATGATGGCAAGGTTGTATAAATGAAACACTTAAACACCATTGGAGGGAGTGTAAATTAGTTCAACCATTGTGGTGGAAAGCAATTTGGCCATTTCTCAAATAGCTAAAAACAGAACTACCATTCAACCTAACCCAGCAATCCCATTACCAGGTACATGCCCAGAGGAATATAAATCATTCTACCATAAAGACACATGCACGTGAATGTTCACTGAAGCACTCTTCACAGTAGCAAAGACATGGAATCAACCATAAGTATTAATCAATGACAAACCAGATAAAGAAAATGTGGTACATATATTCTGGGAATACTATGCAGCCTTAGAAGAATGAGATCACGTCTTTTTTGTTGTTGTGGATTTTTTCTTTATTATGTGTGTGTTTTTTCTTTATTTGCTTTTTTATTGTACTTTAGGTTCCAGGGTACATGTGCAGATCATGCAATATTGTGGCATAGGTACATACAAGGCAATGTGATTTGCTGCCTCCATCCCCCCCATAACCTACAACTGGCATTTCTCCCCATGTTATCCCTCCCCAACTTCCCCCGCCACTGTCCCTCCCTTCCCCCCACATAACAGAAGCCTGTGTGTGATGCCCCCCTCCCTGTGTCCATGTGTTCTCATTGCTCAACACCTGCCTATGAGTGAGAACATGTGGCATTCAATTTTCTGTTCTCATGTCATTTTGCTAAGAATTATGGTTTCCAGGTTCATCCAAGTCCCTACAAAAAACACAAACTCATCATTGTTTATGGAGACATAGTATTTCATGGTGTATATGTGCCACATTTTACTTGTCTAGTCTACCATCGATGGGCATTTGGGTTGCTTCCAGGTCTTTGCTATTGTAAACAGTGCTGCAATGAACATTCGTGTGCATGTGTCTTTATAATAAAATGATTTGTAATCCTTTGGGTACATACCCAGTAATGGGATTTCTGGGTCAAATGGAATTTCTATTTCTAGGTCCTTGAGTAAGGGCCACACTGTCTTCCACAATGGTTCAACTAATTTACACTCCCATCAACAGTGTAAAAGTGTTCCTACATCTCCACATCCTCTCCAGCATCTGTTGTCTCCAGATTTTTTAATGATTGCCATTCTAACTGGCATGAGGTGGTATCTCAATGTGGTTTTGATGTGCGTTTCTCTAATAATCAGTGATGATGAGCATTTTTTCATATGTTTGTTGGCCTCATATATGTCTTTTTTTGAAATCTGTCTGTTCATATCCTTCACCCACTTTTGGAAGGGTTTGTTTGTTTTTTTCTTATAAGCCTGTTTTAGTTCTCTGTAGATTCTGGATATTAGACCTTTGTCAGATGGGTACATTGCAAAAATTGTTTCCCATTTGGTTGGCTACAGGTTCATTCTAACGATTCTTTCTTTTGCTCTGGAGTTTAGTTAGATCCCATTTGTCTATTTTGGCTTTTGTTGCCAATGCTTTTGGTGTTTTAGTCATGAAGTCTTTACCTATGCCCATGTCCTGAATGTTTTTGCCTAGGTTTTCTTCTAGGGTTTTTATGGTTAGGTCTTATGTTTAAGTCTTTAATCCATCTGGAGTTAATTTTAGTGTAAGGTGTCAGGAAGGGGTCCAGTTTCTTCTTTGTGCACACCGCTAGCTAGTTTTCCCAACACCATTTTTAAACAGGGAATCCTTTCCCCATTGCTTGTTTTTGTCAGGTTTGTCAAAGATCAGATGTTTGTAGATCTGTGATATTACCTATGAGGCCTCTGTTCTGTTCCCTTGGTCTATATCTCTGTTTTGGTACAAGTACCATGCTGTTTTGATTACTGTAGTCTTCTAGTATAGTTTGAAATCAGGTAGAGTAATGCCTCCCACTTTGTTCTTTTTGCTTAGGATAGTCTTGGCTATGTGGGCTCTCTTTTGGTTCCATATGAAGTTTAAGGTGTTTTTTTTTTTTTCCAGTTCTGTGAAGAAGGTCATTGGTAGTTTGATGGGGATAAGGTGGAATACATAAATTACTTTGGGCAGTATGGCCATTTTCATGATATTGATTTTTCCTAACCATGAGGATGGAAAGTATCTCCATCTGTTTGTGTCCTCTGTTATTTCCTTGAGCAGCGGTTTGTAGTTCTCCTTGAAGAGGTCCTTTACATCCTTTGTTAGTGGCATTTCTATGTATTTTATTCTCTTTGTAGCAATTGTGAATTGGAGTTTTCTCATGATTTGGCTCTCTGTTAGTCTGTTAGTGGTGTATAGAAATGATTGTGATTTCGGCACATTGATTTTGTATCCTGAGACTTTGCTGAAGTTGTTTATCAGTTTAAGGAGATTTTGGAATAAGATTATAGGGTCTTGTAAATATATAACCATGTCATCTGCAAATAGAGACAATTTGACTTCCACCTTTCCTAATTGAATACACTTTATTTTTTTTCCCCTGCCTAATTCCTCTGACTAGAACTTCCAATACTATACTGAATAGGAGTGGTGAGAGAGAACATCCTTGTCTAGGGCTGGATTTCAAAGGGAATGCTTCCAGTTTTTGCCCATTCAGTATAATATTGGCTGTATATTTCTCATAAATAGCTTTTTTGTTTTGAGATATGTTCCTTCAATACCCAGTTTATTGAGAGTTTTTAGTAAAAAGCGCTCTTGAATTTTGTCAAACGTCTTCTCTGCATCTATTGAGATAATCACGTAGTTTTTGTCTTTGGTTCTGTTTATGCAGTGGATTACATTTAAAGACTTGCGTATGTTGAACCAGCCTTGCATCCTCAAAATGAAGTCTACTTGATCGTGATGGATAAGCTTTTTGTGATGTGCTGTTGCAATCGGTTTGCCAGTATTTTCTTGAAGATTTTTGCATCCATGTTCATCATGGATATTGGCCTGAAGTTTTCTTTTCTTGTTGAGTCTCTGCCAGGCTTTGGTATCAGAATGATATTGGTCTCATATAATAATTTGGGGAAAATTCTCTCTTTTTGGATTGTTTGGAATAGTTTCAGAAGGAATGGTACCAGCTCCTCTTTGTACATCTAGTAGAATTTGGCTATGAACCCATCTGGACTTCGAGTCTTTTTGGTTGGTAGTCTATTAATTTTGCTGCCCCAACTTCAGACCTTGTTATTGGTCTGTTCAAGGTTTCAACTTCTTCCTGGTTTAGGCCTGGAAGGGTGCAAGTGTCCAGGAATTTATCCATTTCTACCATGTTTAGTGGTTTATGTGCATAGAGTTGTTTGTAGTAATCTCTGATGGTAGGTTGTATTTCTGAGGAAACAGCAGTGATATCCCCTTTATCATTTTTTATTGCATCTATTTGATTCCTCCCCCTTTTCTTTTTTATTAATCCAGCTAGTGGTCTATTTTGTTGATCTTTTCAAAAAAACCAGCTCCTGGATTTATTGATTTTTGGAAGGGTTTTTTTGTTTGTTTGTCTCCATCTCCTTCAGTTCTGCTCTGATCTTAGCTATTTCTTGTCTTCTGGTTGCTTTTGAGTTTTTTTTTTTTTTTTTTTTTTTTTAAACTTGCTCCTCTAGCTCATTCAATTTTGACAATAGGGTGTCAATTTTAGATCTTTCTTCGCTTCTCATGTGGGCGTTTACTGCTATAAATTTCCCTCCAGACACTGCTTTAAATGTGTCCCAGAGATTCTGATATGTTGTGTCATCACTCTCATTGGTTTCAAATAGCACCTTTATTTCTGCCTTCATTTCATTGTTTATCCAGTCGACATTGAGGAGCCTGTTGTTCAGTTTCCATGAAGTTGTGTGGTTCTGAGTCAGTTTCTTAATGCTGAATTCTAATTTGATTACCCTGTGGTCTGAGAGACTGTGTGTTATGATTTCCATTCTTTTGCATTTGCTGAGGAGTGATACACTTCCAATTATGTGGTCAATTTTAGAGTAGGGGTGACATGGTGTTGAGAAGAATGTATATTCTGTGGACTTGGGGTGAAGTTTTTGCAGATGTCTAAGAGGTCCACTTGGTCCAGATCTGAATTCAAGTACTGGATATCCTTGTTAATTTTCTGTCTCATTGATCTGCCTAATATTGATAGTGGAGTGTTAAAGTAATAGACTCCAACTATTATTGTGTGAGAGTCTAAATCTCTTTGTAGGTTGTTAAGAACTTGCTTCATGTACCTGGGTGCTCCTGTATTGGGTGTGTATACATATAGGATCATTAGCTCTTCTTGATGGATTGGTCCTTTTACCATTATGTAATGCCCTTTTTGGTCTCTTTTGATCTTTATTGGTTTAACGTCCATTTTATCAGAGATTAGGATTGCAACTCCTGCTTTTTTTCTCTCCATTTGCTTGATAAATCTTCCTCCATCCCTTTATTTTGAGCCTATGTGTATCCTTGCACATGAGATTGGTTTCCTGAATACAGCACACTGATGAGTCTTGACTTCTTATCCCATTTGCCAGTCTGTGTCTTTTGATTGGGGCATTTAGTCAATTTATATTTATTATATATATATATATATATATATATATATATATATAGAGAGAGAGAGAGAGTCAATTTATATTTATTATATATATTAATTATATATAGTCAATTTATATTTATTATATTCATATTTATATTAATATTGTTATGTGTGAGTCTGATCCTGCCATTTTCATGCTAGCTGGATGTTTTGCCTGTTAGTTGATGCAGTTTCTTCATTGTGTCAATTCTCCTTGCCATTTGGTATGTTTTTGGAGTGGCTGGTGCTGCTTGTTCCTTTCTATGTTTAGTGCTTCTTTCAGCAGCTCTTGTAAGGCAGGCCTGGTGGTGACAAAATCTCTCAACAATTGCTTGTTCATAAAGGATTTTCTTTCTCCTTTGCTTATGAAGCTTAGTTTCGCTGGATATGAAATTCTAGGGTGAAAGTTCTTTTCTTTAAGGATGTTGAATATTGGCCCCCACTCTCTTCTGGCTTGTAGGGTTTCTGCCCAAAAATCCACTATGAGTTTGATAGGCTTCCCTTTGCAGGTAACCTGACCTTTCTCTCTGGCTGTGCTTAGCATTTTTTCCTTCATTTCAGCTCTGGTGAATCTGACAATTACGTGCCTTGGGGTTGCTCTTCTTGAGGAATATCTTTGTGGTGTTTTCTGTATTTCCTGGACTTGAATGTTGGCCTGCCTTGCTAGGTTGGGGAAGTTCTCCTGGATGATATCCTGAAGAGTGTTTTCCAGTTTGGATTCATTCTCTCTGTCACATTCAAGTACACCTACCAGATGTAGATTAGGTCTTTTCACATAATCCCATATTTCTTGAAGGTTTTGTTCATTTCTTTTCACTCTTTTTTCTCTAATCCTGCCTTCTCGTTTCATTTCATTGAGTTGATCTTCAATCTCTGATATCTTTTCCTCTGCTTGGTTAATTTGGCTATTGAAACCTGTGTAGGCTTCACGAAGTTCTCGTGCTGTGTTTTTCAGCTCCATCAAGTTGTTCATATTCTTCTCTAAGCTGTTTATTCTAGTAAGCATCTCATTGAACCTTTTCTCTAGGTTAGCACATGTTC